GGGGACCCCCCCTACCCTATAATGGGCTATATGATGGGTATATAATAGCTATATTAAGGGTATATAGGGATCCTTACGAAGGGTCCCTCCTTTTACCCTTGGAGTTTAGGAAGTTTAGGGCTTCGGAGTTTAGGGGTCTCGGGGTTTAGGGTTGAGGGTTCCTGTAGCTAGAGGCTCCATTATATGAGGGTTTAGTGTCAGGCTTAATATGAGACTATAAGGGTTTGGTTTAACTGAAGCGGTTTGCAAGGGTGCGGAGTTCAGGATTTAGGTTTTAAGTTGAGGGTTCGGTTCATGGACCCTAAACCCTAAACCCTGAACCCTAAACATTGCTACTAACGCGTAGTAGGGCAGCTTTGCATCAAAGGAGATCTGTGGTCGATTTAGATGTCGGGCCGCTCAGGGCGCTAGCATAGAGTTAAGGGTTTAGAGCTTAAGGTCTAAGGCTTTCAAGGCTTAGGGATTAGGGTTTAAGGTTAAGGGTTTGGGATTTGGGGAGTTGCATACGCAGAAAACGGCCGCGCCGTCATATCGTCGGCCTCAAGCCAAAGAATCCGTAGCAATCCCACTGCACCAGGGCTGAAATGTAAAGGCCTAAACATGTTCCAGCATTATTTCTCTGGTGGTTTCCCGTTAAAGCTCTACTCTATGTATATATATATATATATATATACAAATATAATATATTATAATATAATATAAGATAATATAAGATAATATAAGATAATATAAGATAATATAAGCTAATATAATATAATATAATATAATATAATATAATATGATATTATATAATATAATAAAGTATAATATAATTCAATATAATATAATATAATAGAATAGAATAGAACAGAATAGACTAGAATATAATATAAGATAAGATAATATAATATACTATACTATAATATAATATACTATACTATAATATAATATAATATAATATCATATAATATTATATGACATAATATAATATAATATAATAAAATATAATATGATATAATATAATTTAACAGAACATAACATAATATAATATAATATAATATAATAGAATAGAATAGAATAGAATATAATTCAATATAATATAATAATATAATAGAATAGAATAGAATATAAGATAATATAATATAATATAATATACTAGAATATAATATACTATACTATAATATAGTATAATATAATATCATAAAATATAATATGACATAATATAATATAATATAATATAATATAATATAATATAATATAATATAATATAATATAACATAACATAACATAACATAATATAACATAATATAATATAATATAATATAATGGAATAGAATAGAATAGAATAGAATATAGTATAATTATACCAAAACACTATTCTAAGCGTTAAGGAACCGGCAGTGTAGAACCCTTACAGTATCCCTGATGGAACCTTAACGGAGCCCAGATCCTAAACCCCAGTATCAATAAGAGCCCAGAGTCTACAGCATTTTTGGCTTCCGACCTGTCCGATGTTTACCCTAAGGCTCCATGTTCCTTGACAGTATATACTCAGTCCCTTAAAGTATCTATATATGGGGCCCCTTTAAGGCTTAAGTATCTACCATAGTGGTACATGGTGCCTTTGGGTTCCGAGGCTGTCACGGGCCCAGCGCCTGAAAGAGTGCCCGACTCCCAGAGCCTTCTCTCTTAACTTGCGCTTGTAATATAGGTTCTCTAATAATGATCAAATAATTACCTACACTTCATTTTGTTTTCGAGGGGGGGGGGGGTCCATCTTATGATTATGGTATAATCGGACCCCAAACACAATTCGAATTATTAAGGCCCCTAGATTGAGTGGGTTCTGGCTTCAACCCTTTGATAAAGGTTTAGGGCTTAGGCTTTAGGAATTTTGCCAGCGATATGCAGAAGGGAGGTACCATGTTCAGGGATGTTGCGATGTCTGGTCTTAGCCTCTTTTCTCAGGCTACGAAGTGCTCTTATCAAAGGGACTATTATTGCGGATCATGTAGGGACTACTATAGGTATCCATTCCCCCATTCCCTACGAAGCACCAGACAGCATAAACATCTCCATCGCGCACATTCGGATGTAGTGATGTAGCAATGATCGCAGTATGACTGTTTAGAAGGGGTCGCCAAAAAGTGTGGGTCGGTTGGGCACACGAATCTCAAAGATTTGGGATGCTGTGGGCGGGGAGCTGTTAGATAAGCCTTGCGGGATCACGATTTCGGGGTCAAGGCCCCGAGATTTAGCGCGTCATTTCGCTCGTCTTTTTAACTTATAAACCCTACACCCTTAACCCCAAACCTAAACCGTTTCGGCCGAGCAAAAAATCAGTTGGCTACTGTAGTTTCGGGGATTGTGGTTTCGTGCAGCTCAACAGAAATTGTCTAGTTCTTAGTGGGAAATGGGGGAATGGGTTATGGGGACTATTGATTATCGGGGATTAGAAATGGACTATTACAGGGATCCATTCCCCATTCCCTACTAAGCACCAGACAGTAAACACAGCTGGTGTGAATCCGGGAGCAACCGAAACCCTGAACCTATACCAGACCTACTAAACCCTACTTTTTTTTGTAGGTTCTTAGTATAAAAACCCGAATATGGGGTTCTTAGCGACCCTACGAAAAAGTAGGTTCTGGTGGGCTCAGGTGGGTCCTAAACCCAAACTCTGAGCCCAAAAGCCCCACAAAGCAAACCCTGGTCCCAAATCCCAACTTGAAGCCAGCTGCTTCAGACACTTCTGATTCCGAGAGACCCCAATATCCCTTAGTTAAGGAATATACCCTAAATCATATTAGGGATCAAACTTTTATTCAAGGTATACTCCTTAATTAAGGGATATTGGAGTCTCTGGGTTCTCGATGCCCCGGCAGCCGAAGCAGATAGTAAGAAAGGTGCTTGAGACCGGTTTTTCCTCAGGGCAGCTGTCCGGCCAACCTGGATCCCAAAAGCATGCGGAATAATATAGGGGCCTAAAAAAATTACCTATACTGTTTTGGGGGCTCCCTGTTTGAATTATAGTAGAATGGGCCCCAAAACCCTATTCTAATTATTAAGGCCCCTTTATTAATAGCCTTTTGGACGTGTTGGGCCGTCACTTTGCCTAGTTTGGTTTTTGAGGAGGTTGGGCCAGGTATTGGGGTTCGGTTCAGTGATGGGTGAGAACTTCGGGTTCGGGTCCCAGTGAGAATTGAAGAGCTACTTTTACGCTATCCCCGAACCCAGCTCTTGCCGAGGTTCTGCCACTTGCTTCGCATCTTGGCCGAGCTCGGGGTACGTCGGCCTCAGAACAACGAGCAGTACCAGCAGCAGGCGCAATACACAATTCCGAATTGCGGAGCAACGGCAGAGTAACTAGTACTTGGCAATGATCCTGCAGACCGGTAGTTGTGACACTAATCATAACACTTGTGGTGGAAAGCGACTTCAGGACGGTGGAGTGGCGCTACTTCTTATGATTGCTTCCATGACCGATCTCGTCGCAAATTTAGCTATCAACACAGCAGCTGCCACAAAGTGCTTATGATTGACATAGCTTCTGTTGCGTGTTATGTTACCCGTGTCGTTCTCACTACTTTGATGTTTGTACTTTGTTGTAAGACCACGTTGTAGTTACAGTTAGCAGTAATCGGGAAATTGTATCAGGGTGTCATGTACCCTGATCTTATACCCATTGAAACTTGTGGGTTATCTTATGATTGAGGATGCAGTAACGACAGTAATTCAGAATTTAGTCAGCACTCAAGACAGCAAGTGGTTGGAACTTGCAATTTGGGCCCGGGGGTCGCAGTCGGATTAGCGTTTGGGGTTTAGGGTTTAGTGTGTTTGCAATGAGGCTACGTATCCTTATAGTATATACTTAGGCCTTAGAGTACCTATATAAGGACCCCTTTAAGCCTTAAGCATCTACTATAATAATGGTACATGGAGCCTGTGTGTTCGGTTATTCTAGAGTTTCGGGGATTAAGCGTTTTGGTCCCAATCCATTTCCCAGAAGACAGCCGGGTTGAAGAGATCCCTTTCGGGAACAGCATAAACCAGCTGTTAGACCCGAAACCTAGGATCGTAAACCCTGCGCCCTAGGGCTCACACCACCTTCCCTAAGGCTCCATGTACCATTATAGTAGATGCTTAAGCCTTAAAGGAGTCCCTATACCGGTACTTTAAGGACTGAGTATATACTATAAGGGTACATGGAGCCTTAGGGCTTTAAACCTAAGTAGCAAAGCCCGATGATGCTAGACCTTGCAGGCCTTTGACAGCTCTCGAGGTCCATTTTCTATCTCTCTGACTACGGGTGCTAATTGGGATCCCTGGAGCTGTCAAGAAGCGTAAGAACCACCAGAAGAAAGAGGGATCGCTAATGGAGCTACCGAAAGCAGGAGAATGAGAAGCACGTTTAGGAAGAATCCTTGAAATTAGTAATACTAGTCAGAGCAACCCTAAACCCCTAAACCCTAAACCCTTTTAACGCACCTGGGCAGGTCCGCAGGCGAGTTTATCGAATCATCTGCGGGCTTGCGCAGTTTACGGGGCTGATGCTGACCCTCGGTGCTTACCTCTGGCTCTGTGCACTAGGCCGGGGAAGTGGGGCAGCAGGGGTGGCTTAGGGCTTCCGATGTCAATCCTAGTCAAGCTTCACCCTAAGCCCTAAACCGTTTCGCACTGTTGATGATATAAATCCTGCATTACCTTATGACCCAAAACTATGGGAATTATGGTATGTTGCTTATTGGGGGTGATGCAGGTTTTATATCATCAACCGTATCACGTCCCACCCATAAAGGGCTCAGCGTCTAAAGCACCTCATCCGGCAGTCCCAAATCAAAGTCGGAGCCCTCAAACACGCTAAACCTTCCCTTCGCAAACCAGACGCTGACTATGGCTAGCGATTTCAATCCAACGCTGTCACGAAGACCACACCACCTCGGTTTCTTGCAAGTTGTAGACCCGGTTAACCATCCGCCCCAAGCCCTTAACCCCAATCCCGGCCCGAAAGCCCTATCTGCCTAGATCGCACTGGATATGACCGTGACATGTTCATCGGCCTGCATGCCACGACTCGAAGTAGGGGTTAGGTTAAGGGTGTAGTAACTCCTAAAGACAAGAGTTTAGGCTTTCGACAGCTGACCAGGTGCACTGTATCGCTATGGTGACGGCAACTGCGATGCCCCTCTGGGCAAGTATGTGGGAAGCTTACCTCAGCCTGACTTTGCACCACGTGCTTGACAGAAGCCCTAAAACTGAAGCACCGAACATGCGACACTCAGTTTCGTTCCTTCATTGATCCATGCAATCCTTCCTTCCTTCACGCATGCATGCATGGATTCATTCATAGTTCGTTCATACCCATGAATGCAACCAATCACTTCATTCTTGCCGTCTTTCCTGCCATCCTGCTTTCGTTTGTTCACTCATGCGGACAATCACTCTTTCATGCACTCATTCATTCACTCATTCAATCGTTCGTTTGTTCGTTCATGCACTCATTCGTGCATTCATCCTCTCTCTCCCTCTCTGTCTCTCTCTCTCTCTCTCTCTCTCTATCTGTTTCGGTCGCTGCATCTCTCTCTGGCTCTGGCTCTCTCCCTCTCTCCCTCCCTCCCTCTTCCTCTCTGTCTCTCTCTCTCTCTCTCTCTTGCGCTCGCGCTCGCTCTCGCGCTCTCGCTCTCTCTCTCTCTCTCTCTCTCTCTCTCTCTCTCTCTCTTTGTCCCTCTTTCTCTCTCTCTCTCTCTCTCTCTCTCTCCCTCTCTCTCTGTCTCTCTGTCTCTGTCTCTCCCCACGCATCCATCCATCCATACCTACTGACATACGTATTTACCCACCTGCATATGCGCTTACCTGCATGCATGCATGCATGCATGCATGAACGCACACATGTATCTAACCTACGTATTGTTGTACATATAAATATATGTGTAAGCTTGCCTTTGGTGGGGCCCCAGAGACTCCAATATTCCTTAATTAGGGAATATTCCTTCAATCATATTAAGGATCCTACTATAATTTAAGGAATATTCCTTAATTAAGGTATATTGGAGTCTCTGGGGCTTGTTGGGCGGCAAGAACTTCTTGGTTCTTTGTCCGGGTCTGGAACTGCATCGATGGAGGATATATGGGTGGTTGTCAAAATTATGGTCCCTTTTTGGGTCCCTATTATGATACGGCACCTATTATTTAGGGTACCCAAGAAGGGACCTTAATTTTGACAACTACCCATATGGTTTTTAGAGATCCAACCTCGGGATGCAGTTCGGCCCAAAACACCGGAGCCCAAGGGCACAAGGCCTTGAAGCCCAACTTGATCCGGCAGCCCTCAGGTAGCCCGAAACCCTAAACGTTATATATCCTAAACCCCGTAAGCGCTCAAACCCTATTCCGTGAAACCCCTACCCAGGAATTTATCGAGTGCGTTCCCGGACTCTGAATACGCCAGGAAACCCTGAAACCCTGTCTACGGTGCTCCTAAACCCTAAACCCCCACCAAGATCTACATCCAGCTGGGCATCGTTGCAGTTTTCGGCTCGGTGCGGCTGCAGGAAGCCAGGGTTTAATGTAGGAGCTTGATTCAGACACACTGGGTCTCCATTCGGGTTCTTTGTGTTAACTCGTATACATTATATCTCGCTCGCTTTTCTCGCTTTTGGGGCACATGCTCCGGTTCGGATGCAGCCCGTTGGCTTGCACTAATTAAGTTGAGGTGAGACAAAAGTGACCGAGGAGGTCGCTGCTATTCGAGAGTGTTCGGTGCTCTCCTATGCTAGAGGCTCGGATCCCAGAAAGTGTAGAAACGGACTGGATGCAGAGATCTGTCTCGGGCGACACAACCAGGATAGCCGGCACACGTAGGAGAATCAACCTCAGGAAGAAGCGAAGGAGGTCAGCGCCTAGAATGGCTTTTCCGAGTTCCGCCTGACCTGACGAGAGGCCCGAGTCCAAACACGGCAAAGTCTGGAGGAGTGGAAGCCCCGTAAGGTCGATGGCAAAAGCGACATCGTCAAAAGGGCCATCAAAGAACGCTGGTTGATCCCCCTTGGCGAAAGCCAAAAGGCATTCATCATGAGTGAACTCGAGAAAGCAGCGGTCGCAGAGCGACAGGGGTGACACCCCCGACCCAGAGTGAACCCGGAGAAAGACAAGGTCTGGGGTGAGAGGGCCGGGAGATCCCGGTTGGATCGGGGAGGTGTCAAGGAGACCAAGAATGTGTACAGAATCCCGGTAGGTTCGGTACATGGACTGGCGGACAGTAGGTGTGGGTACAAGCCAAGCAACGATGTCGGTCGTACTGATCCACTCCGCACAGTCAACGAGTCGGGTGCTGCCGTCCGTGGCATGTAGAAACTCGGCCCAAGACAAGGCCGTCGCCCTAAGGCGATCAGTCGATGCGCAGACACAAGAGAACGACAGGCGCAAGCGGTCCCACAGCTCTTCATCCGAAAGGTCCAGTACGGGGCCGTCGAATTCAATAAGCCGCAAACAGTCCCACACCTCAGCGACAGGGCAGACCTCCTGGTGGACATCCGGAAGCTGTGGAAACAACTGGAGTGGTCCACTCCCAGACAAAGCTGGGCATAAACCAACGGCCTTGTCGTCATCTTTGCGGTGTCCAACGCCGGGTTCAACACTGCATGAGTAGCCCAAGGATAATAGCTTTGTACGACAAGGGAGGGAATACCGAAGGTGCCGGCAGAGTCTGACATTACTGGGGTAGGTACGGAGGCATGCTTGGCACTGTAGCCCCGGGAGAATGCCTCTCCCTGCCATACGCCTTCCATGACACTTGAAGGCGTGCACCGACCACTTCTGCCGGGTGGAGAAGGTGGTGCGGCAAAGCGCGCAGCAGTGCACCTGATCCTGTTGATCCAGCGTAGAGCCGTAGGAGATGGCTCCGTTGCGTTGGAGCTGGTGGACAAGTAGCGCACAGTGTCTGTGGTATGCAGCCTGCCATGCCTCGATGTGGACGGCTCTGGCCTGTGCTCTTTTGAGCAGGCTCTTCCACTTGCCGGGGGCCTTATGTAGCAGTTGAAGCCACTCCGGCCAGAGGTCCTCCCAGGATCTCGTATCCTTAGAGGGTCGGACAATGTCCCAAAGCCATGCAAGGGACAAACGGACAGTGGCGAGCCACTCATTTTCCCAGTGTGCAAGGGCCCAAAGCTGATCTAGCTGCAAGCGAACAAAAAGCAGCAGATGCCGGAGGCGGTGGATGTGCAGAAGGACCGCAACGGAGGGAAGTCCCAAGTAAGCAAGGACCTGATCTCTGCCGGAATGAAGGGCTTGATCGAAGTCCCAGTGTGGCCGACACATATGACAAGCCATCCTCTCATACGCAGAGCTCAGGGAGGAGAGCGCTGCCGCACTGAGTCCAGGCCAGGTACCGGCCCCATGAAGGAGCACCGAGAGGATAAGTGAGTTGTACAAAGTGGCCTTTGCCTCCTTAGGGACAGTGGGGGACCCAAAGATATGGCGCTTTCTCTTCTGGAAAGCTTCATGCGCAAGTGCAACCCTGGACCGGACCTCTCTTGAAAGGTCTCCCGTGAAGTGGATTGTACCTCCTAGATGTCGGTAGGAGTTAACCACTCTCACTCTGGCACCAGGCCACAGTCTGGAGGGGATCTCGATGGAGGGATCCTTGTCCCGAAAAAGGCTTGCACGGACGCCTTTTGAGCCAGTCCCTGAGGGCACGATAATGAGCTCTGTTTTGCCCCGGGCCAGGTTGGGTAAGAGTGCTCTAGATAAGCAAGCGTCAACCAGCAATCCCGTTACATGCCCAGCTTTGGTAACGATGGACTCGGCTGAGTCGGACAGCATCATGAGTGCGAGATCATCCATCCAAGTAGCATCGAAGATATCAATCGAATGCGGAGGCCCAGCTCCCGACTTGAAGATGTCATCTCGCATGGAATCGTGATACGGCAATTGAGTCGTGCATCCCCTGGCCGCCATATCCTTGGATAGCTCTTGAAGCACTTTGGAGAAGAGGAAAGAGAAGACGATATCGGCACAATTGTCGCCTGGACGGCTTCCGATACCAGTTTGCACAAGGGAGGGGCCTGCTTTGAAGCGGAACCATGTAGCCTCTAGAACCTCACTCATGGCGCCGGACAGCCAGGAGCTGGCCCCACTACCCTCAAAGACCGAATTCCCTGTTAAGTGCAGATGGAGTTCGTGTAACACTCCATGTGGCAACCGGATGGTAGCTGCTACTTTTGCAATGGCCTCATCACTCAGCTGGGCACCAGTAAGCAAGGGTCTGCAAACTCGATAAAATGATATAAAATGCTTCCTGGAGATCCAAAAACAGGACAGCAAACGATTGCTTATGGGCTCGAGCCGCAGCGACAAAAAGACGAACCGAATGAGAGACAGCTGTCACTGGGCAAGAGGGGAGTCCTCCTAGCTGCAGAGGAGAGGTGACCGATGTTAGCGGTCCAACACATCGAGATCGGAGAAGACGGTGGAAGGCCTTTCCTGTGACTGCTGAGATGAGGATGCCTCTGTGGGAGGCACAGACTGCTGGCGAGCCTTTGCCTTTCCAGGCAGCCTCTAGGCTGCCCCCTTTGAACTGCACCGGTTCGGCCAACCGTAGGCTGGTTTTGAGCAGCAACGGATACAGAGCCTCAGACGCAGCCGCAACTGCACAGTGAAGGGCCTCCCCGGGGACTCCATCAAGGCCTGATGCTCGGCCTACTGAGGTCGCTCTGAGCGCAACTTCAAGCTCGATCCGGCTCGGGATGTCATCCCTGTTGAAGGAGATCAGCTCCAGATCCCGACCGCTTTGTATGGACATGCAGGACGCTGCAAGCTGAGCAGGTTGGACTTTGCGGCCGTCCTCGATGCCTGCAAAGTGCTGCACCCATGTGTCTTCGACCTCCTCTGCCGTGGTGGCCGGAGTGCCGTTGGCTGTGAGGACTAAGGGGAGTCCTTTGTGTGTCCTAGCCTTACGTTTGGGAGGACCCAAAAGGGGCTTGAGGCGTCGAACAGCTTCAGCCGTGGCACAGTGTTCAGCTTCTGCCGCAACTGTAACGATTCGGTGTTGGATGTCTTGGCGAACCGCCTGCCGGAGGATCTTGCGAGTCTGGCGCAGTTCGGTCGCAAAACCTGAGAGTCTGCTTTGTAAGTGCATTACACGGAGACTGCCTGAGAGTTTGGTAACAGCGAGCCGGCATTTGCGTTGCCATGCCAGAAACGGGTCGCGTAGGGCTGGCGGCAGAAGCAGGTCGCGGCATTTTAAAATCTGGCGCCGCAGCCAGACTCTTCTCTGTCTCAGATGCCACGTATGCTCGCTGAAATGGGAGGACCTACATTGGCCTCTCTGGTTGGGGAAAGCCTTGGTCAGTTCGCCTCGTAGGTAACCTTCCAAAGCGGCCCAGTGTCTGTGGACATTGGTGGACCACGGCACCTGAGGAACCTGTTTCCAGATCTCCGAGAGCACAATTTGCCCTTCCGTAGTGCACATTGCCTCTCTGTCAAGCCGGACTCTGTGGGGACCACTCATTGAGGCTCTGACCAAGGCAGACACTTCGACTTGGGCCGCGTAATGGTCGGTATGGCCCTGGCCCCAGTCCAAGTCTGTCTGGACACAGGATGACTGCGGACCGGCAATCCACGTACATGGGATCCCAACAAAGTCAATTCTAGAACCCGAAGAACCGGAGGGAGAGACCCAGGTGAGAGAAGCTCCCTGGTGTATGTCAGGGAACGTGGCCGGCAACCAAATGTCTTGGGTGTGGAGAATCTTCTGGAGGCCCGTGGGAACCGAACCCGAGCCCGGGAAGACCAGAGAACCGACCCGGCCTGGTATGGGGACTGCAAAATGGGTGTTGTAATCCCCTAGAAGAACAACCTCGTGCGCCTCGCTAAATCTATGGAGGCGTTCGTGGAGCATTGCCCACCATGACTCTCTCTGCGGGTCGCACGTGGTAGGGCCATGGACGCAAACAAACAGGATCTTGATGCTGCCCCTGGCAAATCTCACTACCAGTGATCGTGGGTCAGCGAAAGCAACGAGGAAGTCTCCCGGCTGGAAGTAAGTCTTGGAACCTCTATCGCCCAGGAAAGGGAGAAGTCGACTGAACCAAAGCTCAACTCCCAAGCAACCGGCTGAGTCTTTGCCGGAACAAAAGCGGATGTGGGAATGCGACGTAATCGTGTCGCTGGCTAACGCTCGCGTCTCTTGGAGCGCTGCCACATGGATGTTCAAGGAGTCGAGCTGTTCTCTGAGGAAACCAGCTCGCCCTTTGAAATCTCGACTATCGCATGCTGGAACGGAGGGGTCATTGAGTGTCTGCACATTGACCGTGAGGAGCCTAAGTGTAAGCAGTCTGGTAAGGTCTGGCTTATGTCTAAGATCCGACTCGTACCCAAACCAAGCTTTGGCCTCTAGGTCGGATGGAGGACTGTTGTCTGAGAACCGGTGATGATCCGAGAGGTGGGAGCCGTAGAACTGTGGCCAGGCCTGTGGGGCAACCGCCCCTGTGTGGATCAGCCACCACCATTGAACAGAACCGTCGCGTATCGCTTGAGCTAGTTCCTTCGCTCTACTTGACAAACGGGCCGTATATGTTGTTCTGACCGCAAACTTAGCAAGCGAGTCCGCTAGTTCATTGCCCGGCTGTCCCTGGTGGGAGTGGACATGGTCGACGGCACCCTTGAAGGCAGGTTGGACAGAGCACAGCAATTGAAGGAGCGCCCGTGAGGCCTTCATAAGCGGATCCCCGGATTGACTGCCCCATTGGCCATTGGCCTGCTGGAGAGCAGAGAGGCAGTCAGAGTGGTAGGCCAAAGATGGAAAGGTGCAGGCTTGGATCCCCCAGTAGAGCGCCCAGACCAGTGCGGAGTACTCGCCTGCCAAGGCATGGTGAGTGTCGGCTCCGATGTAGTCCGGAAGCTGGGGCGAAGTTTGAACAACTCCGGCTTGCCACCCAAGAAAATAGCATGTGGTCTCTGACCATCCAAACGCGACAAAAGCCCAGGAACTGAGGTTCCCGTCAAATGACCCATCCGTGTAAAGGTCAACATGACTGAGACTGTTAGAGACTTCTGACCAGGTTCCTTGATCGACAAGAGAGCAGTGGCTGAGGAAGACCCTCGCTGCCGGGTGCAGGTCTCCAAGTTCCGGCAGCCGATGTTGAAGTGGCCAGGAGTCACACGCAATGCCATGCATAACCTGATCCAGGCTGACACCCATATCGACAGAGACTGCAGCAAGATCAAATGTCTGGCATAGTGGAAGGTGGTCGCCGATCCGGATGGGCTGGGGAGTCCGGGAATCAAGGTTGCAAGGTTCTGTTAGTTCCCCGACCCCGAAGGTGTGGCTATCGGGGCCCCGAGGCACAGTAGTGTGGGGGCTGGGCCCAAGCACAGCTGTGTCTTGCGCTGTAGGAGGGCTATCAGAGCCCTGATGCTCAAGCAGGGTTTCTAAGAGAGTCCAAGCATGGAACAGTGGACGATCCTCACTATCAACTCTGCTGCATTCAAGTAACGTGCACAAGGCGTCGCTCCGATCAACGAAGAGCTCTCTTAATTGGCAACAGAGATCATCATCCTCGCTAGTCGAGCAGGTATGCCCTGTGCCGCCCAAGGAGACATTACGGCATGGCGTGGGCACTGGACGTGCGACAGTGCTCCCAGAGATGCCTTGTGGGTTGGGAGGTCGGATGGCAGTGACCTTGGCTGTATCCCCAAGCTGGACCGCACTCGCACCGTGCGATTGAAGAAGGACATGGAGCAGCCCAACGACACAAAGAGCAGGAAGGCGGCTCAGAGCCCTAAGGCTGAGGGCGAAAAGGGCACCGCAAAGGGCGAGGAGAAGGAGGATCCAACGAAGGAGGCCGACATCATCATCAGAGGTGTCCCCGGGCAGCCCTCTTGTAAGGGCGGGAAGTACATTGACCCAGTTCCACTTGACGGAAAGTCGGCGCGCACTTGGGATCCCCCTTGGAATGATCGCACCATGGATTTGGAAGCAGTCCCTCCCCGTGGCAGCATGCCGAAAGGAGGTTGCAATAGAGTGGGTATGCGCAAGCTGAGAACCAAAACGCCTAGAACCACCAGTGCCGGCATCAACCCCTGTCGACGCGTCAATGGAAACCGACTGTTGTGACGCAGCAGCGGAATCGCCATCCTCCTGGGATTCATCCGGCCCCTCGTCATCGCGAGACGACGGGTCCTCATGTGGGGGCAACGAGCTGTCAGGCTCTTGCGGATCTGGGATAAAGTGTGCAGGAAGAAAGGTGAGCACAACAACCTCAAAGCCTCGCACTCTGATGTCCCGGATGACAGGATGTACAAAGCCATCCTGTTCGAAGTAACATAGCACAAAACCCGGAGGGCATCTGCTGGCATATTGTGCTTGAAGCCTTGCACATGGCAAAATGCCGTCGTAGGCGAGGAGGCACTCGACACGGAGTAACAGGGGCCGTGCATCAACGAAGCAGAAGATCCTTCTGTCTGCATCTGGTTCCGAGAATGGAACGGGATCAATGGCCGCAATGATGTGGTCGTGTATGAGGCCTTGATGTGTGTAGGCTGGAGCAAGGGGCTCGGGGGAGCAAAAGGCGTGTGCTCCTCCGCCTATGGCGGTAAGTAGGTCCTGCCGCAAATGACTTCTACGATCAGGTGAGATCGTGAAGGAGAAGGGTGCGTCTGGGGTCAAAACCCATGCACGCTCACCGTCAGGAGGAGACGGAGTCCATGTCGAGTTCCAATGCTCGGTCGAACTGAGAATTGCCTGTAGAGTGGTGGTAACGAAGTGGGCATGTCCTGGCGGGACAAAGATAGCCGTATCCCCGTGACGGACAGACACTTGAGATCCCTGCTGGATGGGCCAGGGGATGTCTTTGAGGTAAACCTCTAGATCCGAGTTAGGGGGAAACCCAGCGGCGATAAGGAGCCCTTCTCTCTGAACCAGTCCTGGAAGTTGTGCCACGTGGATAGTGCTGCCGGCCCTAGTACCATCAAGGACTATCAAAGCTCCGGAAGGGTCCCAGAGAGGCAAACCCACTAAAACCGCAATACCGTCAAGGGACTGGACAGGCACATGTCCTACTCGAGGGAGATAGCTGCGGACAGCTGGATCACGGGCTGCACTGACTGCCTCAACTGCTTCCGAAGGCGTAGTGCCGACTGGGATCCTAACTCGGACAACCTCATCCTCATAGTGTTGACCGAGAATGCAGAAGGTGGTTGTCACGAAGGCTGATGGTTGGCTCGTCGCATGTTGACTCGGAGAGCTCTGCAGGTCTTCAGCAGTTGCGTCGGCAGAGGACGCTGCAGGAGTCGCAGAATCAGCATTGGGTCCGTTTCTGGGCTGTGCAGAAATCTGATCTCCTGCCTGTTGAGGGACAGCAGGTAGCGGAGTTGTAGAGGCTTCGTCGTGGGACGCGCCATGCAGTAAAGGGATGGGAGCCGGTCGTGAGGGAGCATATTCTGCAACGAACACGCTGCCAGGATAGGCAGCCGCATACTGTTGAGAACTGGGGTGACCCACAAGGAGAGAACGCCATCCCCGTGGAGCTTGCATGTCTAGATTGTCAAGGAGCTCCCATGCATCGATACGTCCACCATTGAGGGGGATGGTAAACCATCCATTGCATTGGGGCCGACAGTCGACCAAAGCACAAAACGCTGGCGAGGCAGCTTGGGTCCCTTCGACAATCCCAATGATGGCTCGGACTGGGTGCCCACTGATGGCACAGTCCGTCGTCCTTGGATTGGCTGGGCAAAGTGTGAATCCAGAGACCGGGAGACCTATACAAGTCGCAATCTGGTGCTTATACCTGGTCGGGCAGGTAACATCAGTCTCATGCAGGATAATCTGACCATCCAAGACTAAACCATACCTAGTAACCGGACTATGGGTGGCCGGGTATGGTACCAGGCTCCACCAGGCTGGGTTGCGTAGGCAGTCTGCAAATTCGGCAGCGGGCGCAACAGGCAGCCCGGCAGGCACGAAGCGGACCGTAACCCCAGAAGTGAGGTGCAGGTCTGTACCGTCTGGAAGAGGGACAAGGTCTTGGCCTACGTAGACATCAATCGCAAGCTGGGGTGGGAGGCCTGCTAGATGCAAGAGGGCAAAACGGTCCGCGTAGGTGCGGCCACGGTACGCAAACAGACGGCCATCAATCAGCCTGGTGTCAACACAGATGGTTGGAGGTTGTGGTCCCCAGCTAGGTTCCGCAATGAATACACCAACACCAGGGACTGGCTGTGGATGCGCAGGATGAAGTATCGGAAATCGCCTTCGGTCAGCAGATGGTCTGGCGTCTCTAACAGCCGCAAGAGCCTCTGGTGGGACTGCCGGGATACTGAGTGTGACTTCGACCTGACGCAATGAATAATCAATGGCGGCAACGACAAAGTGTAACTGTCTGTCTTCTGGCGGATGCAAAACTCCATCGAACTGTCCTCCTTCCTGGTCGATAGTGAACTCCCGATGGTCAGGAGGGGCTGTGTATGTCCAGTTCGCAGTCGCCTGGGCCCCGTCACCAGAGGCCGGGAGGTTGTCGCTCCACTGTGAGGCATGACAGGAGTCGGAGTCCCCTAGGAGCTTATGGGTACTAAACCCAGGGCACAGATCCCAAGAAACCCCGAACCAAACCGGAACAGACGGTAAATCGAGAAGTATCGAAAAACCTATGGGGCCGAAGTAGGCTTCAATTTTGCTGTCAATTGCTATAGGGGTTGTGATGCCATGAGTGGTTGGAAGCATGGCGGCATCACCAGTGGAGGCCAGACAGTGCGCTCTATCGATGCGGCGGGGAGTGCGGCTCCTTTCACGCTGGCCAGCCTCTGCCCCATCGTCATCAGATAGGTCACTGGAATCCGTGCAGGTGGACTCAGAGTCCTCGTGCGCATCTTCTTGCTCCTGTCCGCCGAGTTCTGCATCATTGGAAGTCGGCGAGTTTTCAAGGAAGTCAGGAATATATTGAACCACAAGAATCCCAGCCTGTGGGACATGCACAAGTGTGCCCTCAGCTCGAAGTTCATGTCGGCCTCCTTTGATGCTGGTGGCGTGGCCCGGTGGCGCCTCTGCATCAAATCTGGCACACAGACCATCGAAGTCAAGTCTCCCTTGATCAGCGGTGAGCCATTCAATGTCCCGAAGAATGGGTCTGGTGTCCAGAATGACTATATGTGTGTCATCGTGTCCCTCACCGCTGGTAGGTCGATTGGAGTGCCGGGTGGCAACACAGATCGACTTGCAGGTGTAACCAAAGTGCTCAACATCCTCTATTGCAGGATTAGATGGATGCAGGATGGTGTCTGCGGGGTCGTAGCCAAGGAAACTGGCTACAACCCTTCGAAACACAGTGAGAGTGTCTGCGGGAGTCGGCTCGTATGAGATGACTTTGGGCACATCATCGTTGCATATCAGCACAGCCGATCGGATGGGTCCTGGGTACATTGGGCACGGTATAGCCCAGTTACGCTCCGATCCGAGAAGTTCGTCGAAGGGATAGAGCGGACCAAGATGTCGGCCGTCTGGCACAAAGGTGATCAAGCCTCCATTCTCAGGAACGATGTCCCCTTCGGCAGGAAGGAGTCGGTCAGCGAGGAATATGCGTAGCCTTGGCGCATCCGCAAGCGCGACAGAAGCAAGTAACGAGGCTCTGGAAAGTCGATCGGGCAGAGTAATGCTGAAGAGCCTGCCGTCGACCTGTCGGAGGTCAACCAAAACATGGCACAGTGTGGTGGCCCACTCCGGCAGGGACAGGATGCAGGCGAACCGATTGTCGGGTTGCGGCTCGACGGGAAGGAGGGTATCAAAATACAGGGATTGATCCTCGTTCCGGGCTTCCTGTACTTCATTGAGCGCATCGTCTTGTGCACACGGTACTCGCAGGACAAGAGGGAGCACTTCAGCACGGTACCGTGGCGCAAATACCAAGAAGTGGCCATGTAGGAACGTTGCTGGAGGCGCCCTGCGGTCTTTCCCTCGTGAAGGCAACAGGTGGTGGCGTGCGTGCCTCATCATCAAAACGGGCTGGTGGGTGAACATCGCGGGTTACATCAACTGCTCTTTGCCACGGAACGCCTTGGCAGCCACCTGGAGCCTGGTATGGATTGCGCATTGCAATGGCCCCACCGGTGTCGGTAGGGTCACCGGTAGACCCATCCAGTGGGGTGAGGCAGGAAGGCTCAAAGTCCACGCGGAGAACGCTGCCGTTATAAGCCCAAAATGCCTCCCCGACTCTAGGGAGACCACTGAGAACGATCTGGAAGCCACGGGGGGGTCGGAGATCAAGGAAATGAAGCAGGACCGCTTCACCGACATATGGGTCCCTGTTGCGAAAGAAGGTGGGTTTTCTGCCAACGGGCCGACAGTCCAGAACAATGAGGACACCCGGGCCAGCACCACAGATTTCTGACGGCGTCAATTGTCGCGCCGCAATCACACCTGCAAGAAGGGCGCCTTGGTAGACAAGCGGCTGAAATGTGGTTTTGTCAGGGATGCACAGCGTGAGCTGATCTCCGCGGCAGTGCAGAGCACTGGCAGCGTGCTCTTGGAGTTGGGCATCTGGCTGGCCTGAGTGGAGGATGTCTCGTTCGATGTCTGGTGCCAGTATGAGCCAGGAGTCTGAAACTTCTTCGCTCACTATCTGTCGGATGTCAGCTGAAAGGAAATCCGAATCTCTAAGGCACGCAGTGGAGGGCGGGTTCCAGTGAGGACTACCATAAACCGCGACGAACTTGATGGTGTCGCCAGTTACAACCCGAATGTGCCTATCTGATCGTAACGGCTCAGACTGTCCCGTCTGGAAAGCATCCCAAGGGGACTCAGTGTGCCTGCTGGCATGTTCGATGACCTGAGCATGAGGGAGGTGCTTTGCAACAATAACTGCATAGACCGGACCCCCAACTGCAGAAAAGTCAAAGATGATCTCAGCAAGGTCAGATTGTTCGAGCCACTGCGGAACCAGCAGTAGTGACACAAAGCCCTCCTCTGGCTGGGGTTCGACAAAGTCAAGGTCAGCCGCAAAGAAGAGCTTCCTGGGGCTGAGATTGTCGACGACTGTTTGAAGGAAGTGTTCGGGTGTGACCGGCACGCTGACAGATACCTGGACACTTTGGGAAGGGTATCCAGGAGAGAAGAGCACGCACTGGACCTTCTGTGTCGAGCTATCCGAGGTCATTGCTGTTACGGGTCCCCGTGTTTCTTCTGAGGGGCTATGCCATGTGTGTAGAAGAGGGTCGGGCTGGCATGTGGATTCGCTGCCCTGAGAAGCAATCCTATGCCCTGTCTCAAGAACAACCTCAGCCCCTGGAGCAAAAGGAAGCCTAACCGGGGAGGCCCATGAACAGGCCGGGCAGTTAAGCATCGAGAGGAGCCAAAGAATCAACCGGTTGCCACAGGAGGACGGACCTCTGTGTCGCAAAGAGGAGCGGTCGGAAGATCCTTTGCCAAGGCCTCTGGTGTGGGGCTTGGTGGCTGAATGCCTCGGAGAGAAGTCTCGGAGACTCCATAAAATCCTCGTCGTAGCTCCTCTACAGGGGAGCCCAAGGAGACGACCAAGTGGCTCCCGTCTGTGCGGGATTTGTTTCCAGAGGCACATGTAGAGGGCCAGTGCAAAATGGAAAAGAATGGCTCTGCCCAAGGGCACTAGGAAGGAACCAACTTTCTCAAGGAAGTCAGTGAACCTCGACTCCGAAGAGGAAGAAAAACCATGAACCCTATGGGGAGGGGGACTAAACCCTAGGGAGCCAAGGGGAAGTGTGTAGATGACCGGCGCCCCGGCGGACGCCCCTGAACCACCGATACGTCTCTTAGGTGCTCGAGGAGGCCGGTCATGCGATTGACAGAGACATCGAGCGCGGCCCTGTGGCACGACGGCTGCGATGGTGGAAACAGATTGGTTTGAGGAGGGCTCAAAAGTATGTGGTGATGGAGTGCAGCCAAAGATCAAGGCGCTTAGTCTCCAACCAACTTTGTGATCAACTGCAAATGGCTGCGAGGTGCAGTAGCCCTTGAGGACATCAGCCGGGAATGGGGCAGAACGCAAAGAATGCTGGTATGGCAGGGGGAAGCCAGAGGAGGTGAAAGACAAACACCCCTCCGATTTCCGCGAGGAAGAAGAGGACCCAATGCCACCGACATCGATCAAAACCAGAAAGATGTCAGGTGGGAGAGGATCCCAGCGAGGTATGCAGTCACTGGCATTGGAGTCAGCCTGACAGGAAGAAAGGGTAGAGGAGTCCATCCAAAGCTCGACACAAACCCAGTGCCAGTTTTGGGTGGAGAAGGTGTTGGAGGCACAACGAACCACAATCACAAGAGCCCAATGTGTGTGGTCGGTGCTTCCCCAGGAGAAATGAGAAGAGTGGTCAGAGGGAGGCGGATCCGAGCAGCTGCAAGCTACAGGGTGAAACCGCAGGAGTCCACAGGCCGAACTTGACAACATGCCAGTGAGGCAGCATTGACCGACGGGAGACGTGAGCGCCATCCATCTCACCCTTGAGATGGTAGGCTCTCGGGGCCCCGGCAGTCTGCTACCCCAACGGCGTGTTGACAATTTAGCCTTGGACATCTGCCTACCCAAGCTCCTCACTGCATGAGCTATCCGCCCGAAGGGGCGAGTATGAGACCTCGAACCTTGTGTCACTCCAGTTTGCCAAGCCCAGGTGAGCGAGGAGCGGTCGGGGCCCCAGCACGGTGGAGCTCTTCCGGATCCTGATCGGAATCCTGGTCGTCCAGAACTTGTCCATCCGATGTCTCCGGTGGCTTGCGCTGGATGCCAAAGGGTTGCATCGCCGTTCGCTGAAGCTCTTGCTGGCGCTTGGCATCTAGCTTCTGTGCCAGTGAACCATGTGGGTCCACCCGGCCTCCCGGGGAGACTTTGGTGGCAGTCTTGACATCCGATCGAGGGGGCTCTGCATATGTCGGCACCCGATGCTGTCCTGGTTCGCGCATCCCTGGATGGGCAGGTGAGGTTTCCATCTTCTGTGGAGGAGCACCGCCGGACGTGTCTGCTTGGCTTGCCGAAGATCCTGGTTCCTTGCCTGGATGACCAAAACCCGGAGGCGGCGGGTGAGAAGGAAAGGGCTCTGGAGGAGTCGGGGCAGCACCATGAGCTGCCGCCGCCGAAGCAAAGCCAGCTTGGGCCTGCATGAAGGCAAAGGCTTCCGGTGAGAAGAACTGCCCCACGACTTCGGGTCGGAGTCTTTTCGGACCAGGGGCCGGTGCGGCACCATCTGGTGCCATGCTTTCCATCGCACGTTGTATGACCCCGAGGAAGTCGACATCCATGGGTCTCTCCCAGGCATCCCGCATGTTCTGCCAAGAGGTCGCAATCTCTTGTTCTCTTCCTGTTCCAGGGTCCTCCTGTATCGGCTCTCCCTGGATTGCTCGCTTGACTGCCTGTCGTGCAGTCTCTTGTTGGACAAGTGCAGACTCGAGCTCCTCTTGGAACCACGCTTGGTCCTTCTGGTGCTTCAAGAACTCCTGTATGTAGTTGTTCTTCATATTCTCCAGGTACTGGTCCCATTGCCTGGAATTGGTATCGCGATCTGCCACTACTTTGCGAACTTTGTTCTCTGCTTTCTTGGCCGCGGTGACGGCCTTCTGGAGCAACTGCATCTCGCCTGGCGGTGGCTTGGTCTCCGAGCTCGGGGTTGGAGCCGTTGCTTTCGGTGCAACTTGGGTATAGCTCGGGAAGGCCACTGCATTGTAGTCGGCGTCGCTGGGGTTCCGCCATGGAGCCCTGGGCGAGTAGGCCCCACGCCAGAGTCGGTAGTAGGACTCTGCGCCACCATCCCGCGGGTATTGCTTGTCTCCTTTGTTTGGCTTCCATGACTTGCCCATGCCCAATCCAGCCTGGAGTCGTTGGCGTTGAGCTGGCCCAGTGCCGTGGTGTCGAGCAAGGAGCTCGATCGACCTCCGGCTTACAGGTTTTCCCTCGCGGAGGGATTTCCGGGCCCGAGATCGTTTGGTCCTCAAATGGCGGTGCCAAGTGGGGGACCTGGGTGCCGTATTGGCACAAATCGCGGCACCCTTTCGTGCCTTGGGGCTTCAGCTATCCCTCTGTGGGTGTTCTGAGCCCTGTATACATTATATATATATATATGTATATGTATATGTATACCTCTATACGAAAATATATGTAGATAGATAGAAAGATAGCGGCTACAGGGCAAGAGCTTCTCAATCAGGTTCCTACATTTTGGTTATAAGGCATGGTGTTCTAAGGTTGCAAGATTGAGGGCAGCAAGGTTTTGGGTTTAGAGGATTCAGGGTTTCGGGCTCAAGCTTTAAAATTTCGTGCTTTACAGTTCTAGAGTTTAACAGCGTTAGGGTTGTAACGTTTATGCATGAGGTTGAAAGGTTTTTAGCGCTCAGGGTCTTTGGGGTTTTCCGGTTCAGGGTAGGGTTGGATTTCTGAATATCAGATCACTGCGAACTTTCAGCGGTTTGAAACACCATCGATCCTGAAGCATGTTGATGGATCTCAGGGCCACAGCACTCTGGACCTCCCTGCGCCCCAGCCAGCTTTTGGTTGTCAAAGGGTGTTTTTGTCGGGCTTTATCGCCTACATAAGCAACAGGCGAAGTAGTAAGTGTGGTGATAGGTTCCCTAGCCAGGGTGAAAAGTAATGAAAAGTGTAGTCAGCTACACCACTTACAACCCCACTTAGGCAAGTCCCTTGATCCTTTGAGCACGGCGTACCAAGGGAGCCCATCAATCCATCTGAACATGAGAGTTACCCATAAGGCCATAAGGCCCCATACATAGAATTCCCGGAGGTAATCCCAAAAAGGAACTACTGTGGGGCCTGTGGGTACTTAAAGGATCATGGGACTTAGTAACTGTGGTTATACATAAGGTAACTATACTTATAAGCACGTATAAGCCCACTTAACGTACTTATAACCTGACTAAGTCCCATGATCCTCCATTATAGAACCCCTATAGATCCCTTTAAGGAACCCTATCATAGAACCCTATAGTACCCTTATTAAAAGGATACTAAGTCCCATGATCCTTGAAGTAGACAGGAGGGCAGGAGTCCTTCATGGCATACGGATGCCAGAGGGCCACATATTACACCTTACTCAAAAGGATGCTGGGGTTTGTGGGAACATACCCCTTTTAAGGACTTATATAAGGAAATCATAATAAGAAGCCCTAAAAAGGTAGGGGATATGGGTGGTTGTCACAATTATGATCCCTTATTGGGTACCTGGTATAATACGGCACTTATTATTTAAGGTACCCATTGGGGTCTGTGGGAACCGTTGATGTGGCCTCTTCGGCTCACTGCCGCCTTAGCCGGAAGCAGGCGGAGCAGCAAGGCTGCCAAAGCTTGAACCCTCAAATCTCAGCTGACCATGAGTTGAGCGAGAGGCACAACATCAAATGCACGGTTGTGACTCGCCACACCGGACGTGGGTATAAACAAACGGCGCGCTATCAACCCTATCGGGTACCTGTTTTCGCACTTCGACCCCACAGATGGGTCGAGCTGGACGTACGAGGGGACGTGCCACCCGCCTGGGGCCGATCCTGAGAGTGTG